TTAGCTCTCTTGTGCTTTTAATTAAATGCTTCCTATTCCAGATTCTGTCCTGTTCTCTCTAGCTCTTTTGTGCCTTTCATTAAATGCCTCCTGTTCCAGAATATTGCCTCTCTTTGAGAATAGGTGAAATCAGTGAGTAAAGCAGCTTGTCTCCCTTCCCACCTGGGAAGGGACTCTAACTACTGCTTCAGATGCTTTAAATTGCTTTTATAGTGAAATAGGAGAGACATAAGAGAGGGGGAAAATGTGATGTTTTAAGGGAAGGTAAGCAAGGAACCTCACCTCTGCCTCCTCCAGAGCGGCCTGTAAGTCCACTTTCTCAGACTCCAGCTGCTTCCTCACTTTTTCCAGCTCATGCATACTTTTGGCCCCTTGGCTCAGCTGTTCGGTGAGATCCGAAATCTCCTCTGTGGATAGAGAGGAAGGAAGAGATTTGGGCCACGCTCTGAGGAAGGGGAGGAGGAGAGGGAAGGGATATCGCTCAACATCTGGCACCACCAAGCAAGGAGGCTTTGAGGAGCCACTTCTGCCCCTCCTCCTGCCCACCCAGTTCAACCCACCTTGCAAGTTCTTGTTCTCTCTTCTTAAGGTCTCCAGGAGTTCCAGGGACTCCTCATAGGCGTTCTTTAGCTTGAAGAGCTCGGTGCTGAGGGAACGGGACTCTTTCTGGGACGCCTCTAGTTCTGCCTGAGATTCTTCGTTCTTCTGCTTCCATTCGGAGAGGATCTGAGGCGGAAGAGGAGGAGGGAGGCAAAAGAGTCGGGTTTCTTCTTTTTCTTTTATCCTATTTCCTTCTTCTCCTTCCCCTTCTCCTCCTCCTCCTTCTCCTTCATTTCTCCTTCCTCCTCTTTCTTATCCCCTTCCCCTTTCATCCTTCTCCTCCTCTCCCCTTTCTCTTTCCCCTTTTCTTTCCCTCCTCCCTCTCCCCTTCTCCTCCCCTCCCCTTCTTTTTCCTTTTTCTCCTTCTCCTTTTCCGCTCCTCCCCTTCTCCTTTCATCCTCCTCCTTCTCTCCCCTTTCTCTTTCCCCTTCTTTCCCTCCTCCCTTTTCTTTCCCTTCTCCTCTTCCACTTACCCTCATTTGTCCTCTTTTCCTCCTCCTCCTCCTTTCCTTCTTTCATCCTCTTTCACTTTTCCTTTCCCCTCCCCCTCCTCCCCTTCCACTTCCCCTCCTCTTTCTCCTCTTTTCCTTCTCCTCCATCCTCCTCCTCTTCCGTTTCCCTTTCCTTTCTTTTTCCTCTTCCCCCCCTATACAGGCAGTCACGACAGCAATTTCTGTTGATAAACGATGTAGTCTGACATGTGACTGCATTGCTTAGCGACAGCAATCCCTGAAGTCCTGCTTGTCATTGTTAACTGAATCCCACAGTTATTAGGCAAGGCAATTTCCTGGTGGCTTCCCACAACCAAAGTCATTGGGGAAGCCAGAAGGAACTACCAAGTCCCAGACACGCAGGCAAGTGAATGCTTCCAACTGAACTGGAGCAGTGTCCTCTATGGGACCCGAGACGGATGGTCTCTGTGAACCTCACCTTATCGAAGTTCCTTTGCTTCTTGTCCAGGGCAGCTGCGGCCGCGTTCGAGCGCTCCACATCCACCATCAGATCTTCAATCTCGTTCTGCAGGCGGTGTTTGGTCTTCTCCAGCGACGAACACTTGGCGTTCACCGCCTCCACGGCTTCCTCCGCCTCCTGCAGCCTCTGGGCCAGCTTCTTCCTGGCACATGAGGACAACCAAGAGAAGGTTACCTGTGGAGGAGGACTTCTCCTTCCCACAGCTGATGGGGAAAGCAAGTCCCCCGTTCTTCTCTGGATGAAGAACACCACGAGTGGCCAGCCCAATCCAACTGATCATCTCATGCTCTGCGACAGATTTGTAAATAAGGTGGAAACCATAAATTTGGAGTCTGGAAGATATATAGTCCTCCCTTGCTCGTTTTGGCTCTGTAGGACAAAGATAAGTTTTTGGTCCTCAAAACCAGGACATCCCCCCCAGCAAAACCATCCCTACCCACCTACCTTGGTGTTTTTAAGTGGGGAAATCTCCTCCAACCAACAAGCTTTTTGCTCGTCTTATACACTGTCGAGGTCAAATATAACCCGAGCCAAAAGCTTCTTCATTAGAGGAAGCACCGGTGAAAAGAGATGCCCGGGGTCTTGAGGGCAGGTGTTCTGACCCAGCTCCCCAAACACGACAAACCCTCTGATGTGAATTTAAAAGATTCCTTTAATTAGGAGCGCTGGCAGCCCCGGTGAAAAGTTTCTCTCGCAGGCTAACAAGTCCGTCCGTCCGGAAGATGAATAGTTGTCTGTCACATCTATTCATCTCCGCCCCCTGCCTTTTACCCCCAGAGCTAGGGTGGGGTCTCACTAGTAGCGGTGGCTCTTCCTTCCCAAGGACCGGCCCATAGATTTCCACTGCTCTCCTCTCCTCTGCCTTCTGCTCATCCGTGCGTCAGGCACTGGACCCAGCTGTTCCTCCTCTTCCTCATTAGCCACTTCCAGACATGTTGACTCTCCATCTGAGGGTTGATGGATGGCCCAGGCTCCCCCCCCCCCCCCCCCCCCCCCTCCCCCCTCCCCCCTCCCTCTCTGCCAGCTCCATTCCCTCTTCCCCCTTGGAGCATCTCAGGTTGTCCTGATGCTAACCCTGACTCCCACACCTCCTCTTCCTCCCCCTCCTCTGATTCAGTTGTTGGAGGGGCCAGCAGCCAACAGGCCACAACAGGAGGGGTAGAGAAGACACGGGAAGGGAGGAAGGAGGACAAACGCATATATGGGGCACATGTTTATGAGGCACAAAAATATGGAGGCCAGAAGCTATGAACAGTTCCCAAACGAGGGTTTCGAGACTCCGATGTCCTTCCTCAATAGCTCAATCTCATCCTGGAGAGGTTGTCAAAACACACAGTAGTCCAGATAGAAAATATTGCCATCTATAAGCCCTTCCAAAATCAATTTTGGATACAGGTAGTCCTTGACTTACAACCCGTTCATTTAATGACCATTCGAAGTGATGACTTTGTTGGAAAAAAAAAAGACCGACAAACTCGTCTTCACACTTACAACTGTCAGAGTCCCTGAGGTCCCAGGATCAAATTTCGGATGCTTGGCGACTGGCATGTATATATGACAGTGGTACTGTCCCAACGTGTTCTGATCCAACCCTGTTACCAGCAAGAAAATCTCAAACAAACGCAGCAACTCAAACCTTCATAGCTTTAATCTACAAATAACTTCTTTGTAGATAAAAGATGGCTTGAAGCCAATTAGTCCAACCAAAAAAGCCTTGACAGAACTCTTCAGATAATCCAGAGTCTCTACACATAATGCTGAGTCCTCAGAACGTTTTTGCTTTCTGCAAAAGCAAAAACCTTTTGAAACCAGGCTTATATTCCCTGGAGGGAGGGGCCATTACGTTGCATCCTTACTCCCGAGTCGCCTGTGCTGCTCCAGTTGTTCTCTTCTACGAATCATCCTGCACTCACACACACTTGGCACAGGCTCCTCGGGAACCTCCTCATCACTGCTACCAGCTCCCACAATCCCTGAAGGCAGCAGTCCACTCCCTGATGGTCCCAGCCCCTCATCCGAGTCCTCACTCTCCTCCACCGTCCACACCTGCTGCCGGCTTACCACAACACGAGGTCACATGATCACCATTTGTAACTTTCCCAGCTGGCTTTGGACATAAGCAAAGTCAACAAGGGAAGCTGGATTCACTTAACGACATGACCAACCACCACAGCAAAAATGGTCATAGAATTGAGCACAACTCCCTTAAGCGGTGGTATCTCCAAGCATGAACACCATGTCGAAAGTCATGCTTGTTGGTGATCCAAGGTGGCCATCTACCTTGCCCATCCTGGCCTCTTGAATTCATCTCCCTCACTTACTTGGCGTCCTCCAGCTCCTCCGTTCTCTGGATGGCATCCGTTTCATACTTGGTTCTCCACTGGGCCACCTCCGAGTTGGCCTTGGAGAGGACACGCTGGAGCTCAGCTTTGGCCTCCATCTCTTCCTCATACTGTTCCCTCAGAAGGTCGCAGTCGTGGCGGGAGGACTGCAAAGCATGCGCTAGAGCGTTTTTGGCCTACGGCAGCGAGGAACATGTGTCAGTTTGGAGGATGCCCATCACACCTCCTACCTTCATCTCAAAAACCCAGACCCACATTTCCCAAGTGACGTTTCTTCACCTTGGTCTCCTCTTCCAGTTGTCTCTTGAGATCCTCCATCTGTTGTGTGTAGGATTGTTTCCCACGGGTCAGCTGGGAAACAAGGGCCTCTTTCTCTTCAAGCTGTCGGGCGAGTTCTCCTGAGGGCGGGAAAGGAGGAAAGGTGGGTGCCAGAAGCCACACGAGATAGAAGTTTCCTCTTGGGTGGACCTCATAAAGAGGTGTAGAAAAACAAGAGGGAGACACAAAGAGGCAACTGGATTGTCTTTATTTTTCCTTGAAGACCTTTTTCTTCTCATCCAAGAAGCTTCTTCAGTGCTGACTGAATGGTGGAGAACGGTAGGATTTATATTCCTTGCAGTCATCTGGTCGCTAGTACTTTCTCTGAAAGTTGTTGAGGCCACTTGGAGATTTATCGGTGCCCTCAGGATCTCTAGAGTAGTGCAAATGGATTTTAAATGTTTACAATACACTCTTTTCAGCAGTTCCAAGAAAGTTCCACACCCATTTGCACTATTCAGGAGGCCCTAAAGGCACAGATAAACCTCCAAGTGGCCTCAATGACTCTCAAAGGGAATACTAATGACCAGATGACTGCAAATGAATATAAATCCTTCCATCCTCCACCATTCAGTCAGAACTGAAGAAACTTCTTGGATGAGAAGTGAAAGATCTTCAAGGGGAAAAAAAGCCCAGTTGTCTTTTGGAGAACTACTTTTGGGACAACCATGACCTGGACGAAGGAGAACCAACATAGACAACAAGAGGGAGAAATATGGTAGCCAGTACCATTTTCAGTGAGCAGTTTCGCTCGCTGGGTGTTTGTGTCATTCAGGGTCCGTTGAGTCTCCTCCAACTTGGCGCGGTGATCTGTAGACTGGTCCTCGATGGTACGGCACATCTTCTCCAAATTTGCCTGCCAGGAAACAGAAGAATTAAACCCGAAGAAAGCCTGGCAGAAGCTAGAGCACGTTCTCCAACAAAGCCACATGGTGGTTAACTTCACTTGAAAGGACCTAGGCATGGAAGATGCCTTCAACCACTGGAACAAGATGGTTTTGGGGATCTCAGAGGTGAGTTGTAGAGTTTCCCTGTGCAGGATACCAAACCTATGGCTTGTGAGGTGGTCCTACGTGAGGGACATCTTACTAATCCTATATCAGTTGATGGTAGTAGCATCTATGACATTTAAGGTCCTGAAGCCAGTCCAGGAGAAGGTGCCCAGCTTGGCTTCTAGTACTTATTTTCCTTACTAATGGAAGAGAAGAGAATATTGGTAGCTCAGAGATCAACTGTGAGGTTCTTTGAGTTGTAGATGTTTCATGACTAAACTAGAGAACATAATCAGTGCTAGAAGGGGTTTGTGGAGAGGAGGAGGAGGAGGAGGAGGAGGAGGAGGAAAAGGACAACTGTGGGATCCTTGGTTGTTTTCTTGCCAATATTTCATAACCCATGTAGAGTGGTGTAGTGGCCTAGAGATTGAGCTCTTGCCTCATAATCAGGAGGCTGTGAGTTCAATCCTGGGTAGAGGCAGATATTTCTCTCTCTGGACGCAATGAGAATATATCTGCTGGAAAAAAAACCTCCGCATTGGTGACAGGGAAGGGCATCCGGCCTTAGCTCCATTCAGTGGCCCAGACTCCACCCCGCAAAGGATCATGGGGTCATTAAAAGAGGATGATGATAATATCATGACCCAACTAGGTAACATCATCAGTGCTAGAAAGGAGTGGGGTTTTGGGAGAGGAGGAAGGGAAGGACAACTGTTTTTGGGGCTCTCTGAGCTGGGTTGCTTGCTTGCCGACATTTCATAATACAACTAGGGAACATCATCAGTGCTATATTGATGACTGATGATGTTCCCTAGTTGGGTCATGAAACGTCTTCAAGAAAACAACCCAGCTCACAGAGCACCAGGGACCCCAGATTTTCCTCCCAGCGTCCACCTGTAGACCCTGTCACACCCATCTACCCAAGAATGAGTTTGTGTCATCCACAGCCCACTTGGCTGGTATTGGGACCCTCCCCTCTACTGACACAACACCTTGGCCTTCAGAATCTGCTCCATATTGGAGGCCACGTCGTCGAGTTCTAGCTTCAGCTCGCTCTTCTCCTTCTCCAGCTTCTGCTTCACCCGCTGCAGGTTGTCGATCTGCTCGCCCAGCTCCGCCACGGAATCCGCGTGCTTCTTGCGCAAGGTGGCCGCCGTGGCCTCGTGCTGCAGCGTGGCCTCTTCCAGGTCGCGTCGCATCTTCTGGAACTCGGCCTCCCGCTTCTTATTCAGCTCGATCTGCACCGAGTTGGCTCCTCCGGCCTCCTCCAGGCGCTCGCTGATCTCTTCCAGTTCTCGTGAAAGGTCCGAGCGCTGTTTCTCCACCTTGGCACGAGCCGCGCGTTCTGCCTCCATCTCCTCTTCCAGCTCCTCGATCCGTGCCTGAACAGTGGGAAAAAGACAAATCGCTAGATTCTTCAATCTTCTAGATCAGGGCTCCCCAACCCCCACCCACCCCCGAGCTGCAGACCAATACCGGTCCGTGGCCTGTTAGGAACCGGTAGACGCAGCTGAAGGTGAGTGCCAGGTGAGCAAGCGGAGCTAACAGCTTCATCTGTGCATGCACAGGGTCTAGTTTGCATGCAAAACCATCCACCACCCCAGTGGTGAGATTCAATTTTTTTTACTACTGGTTCTGAGGACGTGGTCAGGTGGGTGTGACCAGGTGGTCACGTGATTAGGTGGGTGTGGCTATGTGGTGGTTTTCCCCCCACATAGATTTCTTGCTTTCTAACTAATCTTTTTTTTTAAAATAAATTTTATTGATTTTACAATTAAAACAGACCAACAACACATACATAAATGTAAGAGAGAAAAAGAAAAGAAGAAAGGAAGAAGAAAATAGAAAGAAAAAGATAGAAAACAATCAAAAACATGTTCATCTTCAACAGTTTGTGAGACCTCCTTTTTATCCTTATTTTATGCCATATACATGCTTAATCCTTACATATATCCGTATATCACTACTACGGTTCTATCCTATCCTCTTTTGCCTTTTAGTGTGAAGTCTATCTTTGGTCTATCCATTTGTACCAGCAGTTCCAGCTGTTGTAGTATATTGAAGTGTCTTTATTTTTTAATGCCAAGGTTAATTTGTCCATTTCTGCACAACTTGAAATTTTTTGAATAATCATCTCCTCTGATGGAACATGAGGCTGTTTCCAACATTGTCCAAAAGCCAATCTAGCTGCTGTCAAAATATGTACTATTATATATTTCACTTTTTTTGGTATTTGTTTATCAAAGATCCCTAATAGAAAGGACTCTGGTTTGAATTCGATATGTTCTCTTGTCATTTCCTCCAGCCAATTTCTAATTTTCTGCCAATATTTTTGAGCTTCTGCACAGGACCACGCTTTCTAGCTAGTTACGCCCTTTCCTGGACCAGCAATCCCTACTCACGGTCACTCATGCCCTAGTCCAGGGGTGTCAAACTCACATCATCATCACATGACATATTGTGACTTTTTCCCCTTCGCTAAACCGGGGGTGAGTGTGGTCAATGCGTATAGCGCATCTGGCCCACGGGCCGCGAGTTTAACACCCCTGCCCTAGTCATTTCCTGCCTTGACTATTGCAACGTGCTCTACATGGGGCTGCTGCAGTTGGTGCAAAATGCAGCGGTCCGTGTGGTTTTGTGCAGATCTCGGTGTGTCCACAGGTATCACCTCTCCTGTGGGAGTTTCATTTATTGCCGATTTGCTTTAGGGTGCAATTCAAGGTGATGGTTGTCACCTTTAAAACCCTTCACGGTTTTGGACTAGGTTATCTGAAGGACCATCTCTTGCCGGTCATATCTACCCGACCCACCAAGGCAAGGAGGCAAGGAATGTTGTGGGTCCCATCCCTTAGCCTAGGCCAAGAGAGATATACCTGGTGGGACCCAGAAGAAGGACCTTGTCTGTGGTGGCTCCCTCTCTCTGGAACATCATTCCCCCGGAGATTAACCTGGCCCCTATTCTGACACTCTTCCGGAAAGCGCTGAAGACCTAGTTATGCCAGATGGCCTGGGAAACCTAAAGCGGGATGGAGCCCATTAAATGGCTCGTGTGATGTGGTGTCGCCAAGGTGGGGGGGGTTATTATATATGTTATTAATTCATTCTTTGACTATGCTCTTTTATTGGTTTTACTTTTTTTATATATGATGTTTTTATATTGAGATTATATTTGCTGGATATAACTCCGCGTTGGTGACAAGAAAAGCATCCGGCCAGTAATCGCTCAGCTCCATTCAGTCGCCCAAACTCTTCCCTGCAAGGGATTCTGGGGTCATTAAAAGATGATGATTATGGTGTTTTTTTATATTCCTGTAAGCTGCCTTGAGTCGCCATTGTGAATAGGCGGCAATATAATTTGTATAAATAAATAAATAAGCTTCACTTCCTGTGATTTAGGAAGGGGCAAAACAGAGGGATGGTGCAGAATTTGGGGGAATTTCTCCCTTTCCCTGACCGGAGCATCAAGCAAAATGTGTTTTTACCTGGAGCTCCTTGAGTTTCTTCTGCAGCTGTGAGGCCAGAGCTTGTTCGTCTTCAATCTTGCTGTTCTGCTGGTTGATATCAAACTCTTTCCTGCCAAAGAGAATTCTGGAAAGTAAAACCCTTCTCCATAAAGGGAGTCCTCATCTTATAACAAGCAGTTCATTTAGCGACCAGTACCACGGCACTGAAAAAAGTGACAATTTCTCAGACTTACAACCTTTGCAGCATCCCTGTTGTCTCACCCGTGATTGAAACTCAGTCGCTTGGCCACAGACTCATACTTACGATGGTTGTGGCGACCCAGGAGGTTAGCTGGACCCCTTTTTGTGACCAAGTCAATGGGGAAGCCAAATTCACGTAACAACCGGGTGATTCGTTTAACGGGGATTCGCTTAACTCATGTGGCAAGAAAGGTCATTAAAAGCTACAAATAATTCGCTTAAGAAATGTCCCGCGTAGCAAGAGACATTTTGAGCTCAATTGTGGTCGTATGTTGAGGACTGTCTCTATCCATCTGATCCAAGGGTGTGGTTCAACTGGTGTAACAACCGGTTCGGTGAGCGTGCGTTTGCACCAAACGTGCACTTCGCACATGCGCAGAAGGTTTGCTACTGGCCTGCTCCTGCAATCCTGCCCTCTCCCTCTGTGTTAAACAGCTGACGCACGGCAATTCACTGTGCTGCCCGAAACAGCTGAGCTTGAAAACCAGGAAATAAAGGTCAGAATAGAGGCAGGGCAGGTGGGCGGGCCCAGCAGCTGATCGTTGGAGCAAACCGGTTCGTTCATAGATGATCCTCGGAGCTACTGGTTCAACCGAACTGGGCCGAACCGGTAGAATACCACCCCTGATCTGCAACTTCTTCAACTCTGCTCTGTTGCCCAAGTGTCACAGAGTGTCCAGCTTCTCAACCCACCTGGCAGTCTCCACTATGCAAGTAATCCTTGACTTACGGCCATTAGTTTAGCAGGTGTTTCAAGTTACGACGGCACTGGAAAAAGTGACTTACAACAGGTCCTGGCTCATGATCATTACAATGTCCCCGAGTTCGCAATTAGCTGGCCTCCAGCAAGCAAAGTTAATGGGAAAAGCTGCATTCGCTTAACAACTGTGAGATTCCCTTCACAACGTGCCAGCAAAAAGGTACTATTCTCCACAGCATGGTTAAATGGACTCTTTTATCTAAAGAAGAGAATAAATTCCATTTTGTTTCTATTGAGAAATGCCTTCCTGATTTTGGGCATGAGATGGGGGGGAAAAAGAAAAAAAACTTTGATTTTGTTTTTGCTGTTTAGATAAGTTTGTTGCTATAGGAATGGCTAGTATATATACTGCTGTATAAAAGTAAAAAGTTGAAGTTGTGATGTTATCTTATACTGTGCTAAAGAGGGAAGTCGATGCCTTTTTCTTACCTCTTTACACCATATTTTCTCTTTCCTTCCTTCCTTCCTTCCTTCCTTCCTTCCTTCCTTCCTTCCTTCCTTCCTTCCTTCCTTCCTTCCTTCCTTCCTTCCTTCCTTCCCTACCTTCCTTCCATCCACCCATCCATCCACCAGAAGTCTTTTGATAGCTAACAAGAGTTAAAAGCATTAAATGCAA